TTGTTGGATATTGTTAAGATGGCAACTGAATATACTGTAATACCCACACTGAGATCTGTACAGTATACACAAGCATAGTGTACAGTATATTACTCTCACTCAAATATATTTACTGTACTGCAACACTGAATTAGTTTGTTGATATAAATTACTGAATTACTTTTATCTGGTTGCCATGCTGGTCTAATTTGGTTGTCATGCTGTGTAACTTGGTTGACATGCTGTGTAATTTGGTTGTCATTCTGAATTATGTGGTTGTCATAATTACAGTGTACTGTATCTGATTTCCGGAGCTACTGATTAATTTAGTTGTCATATTGAATTATCTGGTTGTCATACAGAATTTGGTTTCCTTTAGTGAGTAATTTGGTTGCCATAGGTAGTAGGCAGGTACCAAACAGGGAGGTACTACCGCCTGGGAAGATATTGGAAGCATAATGTGTTGTCTAATGGTAGACCCTGCTGCCGCCTGCCATATGGCATTGCAAAGATTGTGACCAAGTCCCAGGTTGTTGACCTGACTTTCTGCCTCATTTACACACAAGTGCAGTCTCAATTGTGTCTCTTACATGACAACACAACATACTGTACATATGTTGTTTCTCACTCTTGATCATTTTTATTTTTATTTTTGTTCATGTTTATTATTATTACAGTATTACTTTAATCATTACTATTATTATTGTTATTACTATTATCATTATTATTTCTTTATTTTTATTTATTTATTATTTTTATTTATTATGAATTATTATTATTATTATTATATTATTATTACTGTTATCATTATTACAGTACGTGTACTGTATTTCTTTTTTATTTTTAATTTGTTATAAATGTTATTTATTATGAATTATTATTATTACTGTATTATTATTATTATTATTATTATTATTATTATTATTATTATTATTATTATTATTATTATTACATTTTCACCCCCAGACCCTGATGTGGGTCGGTGACCTGTGTCCGGGTGGGGTAATACCAGTAAAAAAGAAAAAAAAAAAAATTACTGGGGTATTTAGTTGCCATACTGAATCATGTGGTTATGTTGCTATTTGGTTACTGTGGTTAAATATCTGGTCAAGGTGTTAATGTTGTTGTTTGGTCCACAGATGAGCAGGTAGAGGGAGGAGAGACCAGCCCACAAGACTCCAACGCATCAGACAAACTGGAGAGAGACCAAGTCGACGGTGGTGATGCCAAGTCCCAGGAGACGCCAGAAGCCGCAGCGAACCGCGACGAACGAGTGCCAGTTAACGGTCAAGTGGTGCACGCGCCAGTCTCCAGTCACTACGCAATGAGTGCCACGTCGGCCGCCGATATTTGTTTGGGCACATCCACCACGCCCTCTGTGACGGTCACCTTCTGTGGACCGTCCAATAGAAACTTAGTTATGCCATCGGGAGTGAGTTTAAGTGGGACGTCTCGCACGGCGTTGACCGAGTCCGCCCACAGGAGTTTAACGACGCCGTTAAGTGTGACGCTAAGTAGCTCGTCGCCCAACTCCGTTAAAAGTGCCAAAAACGGACTACTGTGCGGCGTGGGTGCCCAGCAGTACGAGGCACCCAGCCCCATCCTCAGTAGCAGTGCCATAACATTACTGACAACTGTGACCACCAGTGCCAATTTAAAGAGAGTGTCGACCGTAGACACTAAGAAGGAACGGGGGAAAGTGGAGGAGGAAGGCAGCCGGGGGAAGGGTAACGCCGAGTTCCCTTACACCTGCCCCGTCTGTCACGAACCTTTCAAATCGAAGCGATCTTTTAACGCACACATCATTGTCCATTGTCAAGTAAGTGTTGCCTCTTTTATTGTTTTATTTATTTATTTAATATTTATTCTGTAGACATTATAATTGGGGAGGTTTTTATGCCTCTGTGATTATGTTTTTATGCCCCATCATGATGATGTATTTATACCCCATTACTCCTATGAAAGGGGGCATCAGGTGCTCCTCTACTTGCAAATGAGTTACGTTCCTTAGATTAGTTCATGAGACCAACTTTACTCCTGTAGATACCAAACATATTGTAATAAAATAAAATAAAAACGAAGGACTGACAGTACAACACTCACTAATATAGTTTACCAGTAACACTATTTTAAAGGAGTAGAAATTACCAGTTGGATATATAGACAGATTCGTTCACATACCCATTACTGATCCATTACTGCATATGGTAGTGTAGGCTTCACCTGTCCATACATTCTTACGTTCATATATATATATATGCTTGTGTGAGTTATTTTTTTTTTTTTTTTACTCTTTGCCAGACAGTAGTGAACCCTGGTAAACCTTGGTGAACTTTTGTAAACTTTGGTAAACTTTGATAAACCTTGATAAACTTGGGTAAACTTTGGTGAACTTTGGTAAACCTTGGTAAACTTTGCTAAACCTTGTTAAACTTGGGTAAACTTTGCTAAACCTTGATAAACTTGGGTAAACTTTGGTAAACTTTGATAAACTTTGATAAACTATGGTAAACTTTGATAAACTTTGGTGAACTTTGCTAAACCTTGGTAAACATTGATAAACTTTGATAAACCTTTGTATACTTTGATAAACCTTAGTATACTTTGATAAACCTTGGTAAACTTTAGTAAACTTTGATAAACCTTGATAAACTATGGTAAACCTTGATAAACTTTGATAAACCTTGATAAACTTTGGTAAACTTTGGTAAACTTTAGTAAACTTTGATAAACCTTGATAAACCTTGATAAACTATGGTAAACTTTGATAAACTTTGATAAACTTTGATAAACTTTGATAAACTATGGTAAACTTTGATAAACTTTGATAAACCTTGGTAAACTTTGATAAACCTTGGTAAACCTGGATAAACCTTGGTAAATTTTGGTTAACTTTGATAAATCTTGCTAAACCTTGATAAAATTTGATAAACTTTAGTAAACTTTGGTAAACACTGCAACATCACATCAAATCACTGTCACCCATATTGGTTAGGTTTAGATTGTTTAGGTTAGGTTAGGTTAGGTTAAGGTTAGGTTAGGTTAGGTTAAGTTAAGGTTAAGGTTAGGTTATAGCATTATGTCTTGAATTTACTTACCTGTTAGTAAATTGGCTTTTCACACAGTCACATACAGAGTCTAGAGGTACCTACCTACCTCTTCACTATGGGGATGCCACTCTTGGTAGTTTATTTAGCTTATATCAGACAGTTATATTCAGCACAGAGGAGACCCCATACACAAAGGTTTAACAGAACAGTGGCGCCTGATTTACTGCACTGTGTCATAAACCATTAAGAGGTGAGGTGCAGTCATGAGTGTGGTCAGTGATAGGTTTTTTTGGGGCTCCTGGTTAGGATATTAACAAATAATATATACTGTGCTAATGTTCTGCCTCTGGATAGTTTGTGTGTGTGAGAGAGGATGTGTTCAACCTGCCAGGGGCCAAGAGAAACCTATTCTGTACAGTATATAGCTACAGTTGCCGTGTATGAGGGGTCTCTCTCTCTCTCTGCTGGAAGGAATCATATGTTTTTAGCCAAATACACTGTTAAAAGGGACATCCAATAGTGAAAGGTGTTATGAGTGTTCCTCAGATGGTCCCTGGGGGATTTACAGTAGCTACAGTATATTGCTTATTTAGGTTGTCACTCAAAATGACACTGATTTGCTTACCAGTCTGGTTGAGTATTTTTACCATACTGTATATAATAGTTGGTCATTCTGTCTGTTATAATATATTTGTCAATTTTAGTTGGGATTGAATATGGTCAGACTTAATAGATACTGCTTGGCTGATCTTATTTGATGGCAAACAAAAATTAACCAAATAAATTGAAAAAAAAACATAAGCCTGTACTGTACTGTATGCCAAGTAACAGCTGAATCACCCAAGATGTTGTAAAGCTTATAATTGTACAGCACAGTATAGTTTAGTTGAATATCATCAAGATTAGGAAACCTCTGTTATTTTGTCTGATAAAACACTGCAATGCTAACCTAACCAACCCCCCCATATAGCTTTGGGGTGTTGTCATGAGGTAAAAGAAGTGGGGTTTCCTAATCTTCACGCGATCTCTGTATGGTAGTTTTTAACCCCTTGAATAATAAGGGATCTCTGTGCTGAATAAAATCATTTGGCATCAGTCAACTAAGATATTAAAAGTATTGAAGGGGTTTATAGTAAGGGCTGTTACATTAAGACAAGATGGAAAACTGTTTCAATCAGGGGCCACTCAAAGAACCTCCCTGAGATTTATTCCCATGGTCCTGATGATGCCTTTGAGTTATTACACGGTATATAAAACTAGACTGCCAGTTGGTATGATTTATTCTTCATAGTTGTAACCTCAACCATTGACCTTTTAACCTTGAAAATGTAGCAGCAGCTGTGTAGGTTAGGTTGTCCCTGTGAGTAGATTATGTCTGTCAAGCTCAAGCATTTTTACCACTATAGGGTTATATTGGGGATGTTCATAGTTAAAGAGACGTAAATGGTACTGGCCGCCATACTCCGTGTGTGTGTGTGTGTATAATGATGATGTGTGTGTGTGTATAATGATGATAATTAGCGGTTTATTGAGAAAGTTCTGCAGCCCGAAGTCTGAAAATATACAATATGCAAAAATGACTCATTACATACAAAGACATGGGGTAGGTGGGTCGTTTAACAAAAGCTTTCATTAGACACTGGATGGTGTGGTGTTCACGTGGTGTAGTGACTATTCCGTAGGTGTTGATATGAAGGACCTCCGTGGTCATGGAGACACTGGATGGTGTGGTGTTCACGTGGTGTAGTGACTCGTCCGTAGGTGTTGATATGAAGGACCTCCGTGGTCATGGAGACACTGGATGGTGTGGTGTTCACGTGGTGTAGTGACTCGTCCGTAGGTGTTGATATGAAGGACCTCCGTGGTCATGGAGACACTGGGTGGTGTGGTGTTCACGTGGTGTAGTGACTCGTCCGTAGGTGTTGATATGAAGGACCTCCGTGGTCATGGAGACACTGGGTGGTGTCACAGTACGTCACTCTGCTATGTGGTGTGTTATATAGTAGTCAGGTGTAAAGCCGGCCCTCTGTTGTTCCCAGGGTGGAGTGATTTGCACTGCCTGGTCAGAAGATAGTAGTCAGTTCCCAGGGGTGCTTATCTCAGTGGTGGGTCACTGCTCTCACTGGTACTGTCTAGTGCTGAATTCACTGGCTGAAACACTGTTCATCACTGTTCAACACTGATCCAACTTCTTTCTGAAACGAAATTGGCACTTTTGATTATGTTGATATCCCGGTGGTAAGGATGGGTCGGGGAGAGGGACTTGGGGAATGGGCCGAACATAGCCAAGGGAGGCAGCAGGAGCAGCGCCTGATAGGTCTTGACCCTTCGGTGGTCAGGGATGTGTGTGTGTGTGTTTATGATAAATTTCTTCTCCTGGGCCATCACCACTAGAGGTGTCCATGTCGTAGGAAGGAGACCAACAACCTATGCTGTGTAGGATCCCTCCATTGTTCTTGATAGTCTTGTCAAGGGCTATTATGAAACCCACTACTGTTCTTGTTTCCATGGCTTGAGCTGGTTGACTGTGTGAAAAAAAATACTTCCTTATATTCATCCTGCAAGATTAACTCCCTGCATTAAAAATCATCACAGGATAGATACAGTATATAAGCAACATCACCACCAGGTTTCATTCTGCTATGTTAGCCCTTGTGTATGAGAGCTATCTATGCTGAATAAAATAACCCAGCATTAAGTTAATAAAATATAAAAAGTGGCATCCCTATAGTGAAGAGATTGAATAGAAAAAGGCCAGATATACCCAACCAGTGAGCCAAAAGTCTTTTACCACAGACCAAGCCTCTTATTAAGCCTCTAATTTATCTGATAGGAAGGAAATTATTAACTTAAGTCTTAGTTAGTGCCTTAAATGATATATATATATTAAGTACTGTACCTGAGAGTTGCTTTGTTTTCTCCAGTTAATTCACCTGAAAAATCCCCACCCCAGCTTATGTCACCTAATGATGAACCACACTACACTATTTGGAGGGATGATGTTTGGGTAGGTCAGGTGAATATTGGTTATTTAACTGCTTAATGGTTCATTAATTAGACAGCATCACGTCTTAAGGGTCAGAGAAACCCACAACATTGACACATTATTTATTGGTTGTTATGGTCAAAACCTGTAAAGAATGAGACACTCGTTAACTACTGATTATATTCCATTACATGTATACATTATACATCAGTTAGTTAATACATTATACTGTACGGTTATTAGCCAAGAGTTTTACAACATTTCACCACAACACAAACAATCACTTGTGTTCTTTCACTCACCTGTACTGGCTTATTGCTTCACTTAACGCCTAGTATTGTTCCACTCCTGGTTATAGCTAGTGGGTGTACACTCAAAGGGGGTTGGATGGGTACTGCCAGTGCCAGCTAGAGGTATTTAACCAACACCCTCACACATCTGGCGAGGTCACAGGTCGGAGGAGCAATTGAGGTCTTGTCTAGGGCCGAGACGATGGCGCCATTGTCTCCTCGGTCGGTACACAACAACACTTCCTCATTAGTCTTCTCACCCTCCCATAGTTGGAATAACACTGCCAATGAGGGTGGCGATAACAGGTTACATTAGGTTCTGTTTGGTTAGGTTAAGTTTTGATAGTGATAGGTTAGTATTAGAGTGGTTAGGTTAACATAGGTTAGCATTGTGAGATGGTAGATTAGGTATGGTTAGTGTTAGTAGTTAATCTTTAGGCAAAATAAACTCAGGTGGAGATTATTCAGGTGAGCCACTGTATTTAGACCAGGGATGGTCTGATCACCAGCGTCTTCACTGAACCCCTTCACTATAGGGACACCACTTTTAATACTAAAGACTAACATGAGGTGATTTTATTCAGCTGAGAGGAGACCCTATTATACAAGTGGTTAATACCTCAATATTCAATGAAAATCCTGTTAATAATTATATTCCCCTTACAGTTGGTTAACGGCACCAGTAGCGGGTCAAAACGTACCATAGATCTGTCTGCTAGTCCCTCACCTGATAAAAAGAGAATAAGAGAAAACGCCATCAATGAACAGGTGAGCCTACTGTGAGGTCTGACACTTACTATGACTATAAACAACAGTGACTTGTGTATCTATGTGGCTTCAAGGTAACATATTTCTATACAAGTTTTTGGAAGAGAAGAAGAAAAATAACCTGGGATGGAGATTCTTGTGGTGATCCCATTTGTACATTACAGTATCTCATAAAAGTATCTGTCCACTCTGTGTGAAATATTATGAGACCACAGATGATAGGTAATGGGATATGCATGTTCCTGGCCTGTATAGTTTTAACATAATTGATGCAATGTGTATTTATTTTGGGCATACCTGGTAATTAATTTGATGTTCGGTTACCTAATGGAGTAGGATCGGTATGCCTCAGAGCCACGCATACCAACACCTCCCGAGACGTCACCGCCACGCATACCAACCCTCCCGAGACATCACCACCACGCATACCAACACCTCCCGAGATGTCACCACCACGCATACCAACGGAGACATCACCTACCACATACAACCCCTCCCGACCACCACGCAACCAGCACCACCACGCAACCCTCCGAGACGTCACCACCGCATACCAGCCCTCCCGGACGCACACATCACCACCATACCAACGTCACCACCACGACGTCACCACCCGAGACCAACACCTCCTGAGACGTCACCACCACACATACCAACCCACCCGAGACATGACCACCACGCATACCAACCCTCCCGAGACGTCACCACCACGCATACCAACCCTCCCGAGACATCACCAGTTGCCTGTACCATTTCTGAAGTCATCTGAGCCATCTTGACAGATGCTTTTTTGAGATACTGTAGTTCTGGGTTATATTTTTTCTTTTTACAGGGTGTATATACAGTACAGTACTTGCTTCCTTCAATGGTGTGTGTTTCGTTTTTACAGCTGGAGTCCGTTCAACATGGATTTATAGCCCCGGTAGAGGATTCAAGCCTACCATTGGACCTAAGTTGTCGTGGGTCTATGGCAGCCAGGAATTGCGATAGACCGGCGGCGGTGTCGACCCCAGAGACAAAGGAATGTTTAAAGAGCCAAGAGAGAGGGACGAGAGAGGAATTCAATCCGGCGTTGTTACCCGACCAAGATCCAGCGGGACCTTTCAACCATTCAGTGTTGTCCGACCGCGGGCCGCTAGAGGACGAGAACGAGAACTTGGTGAACGAAGCGCGAGAACGAGAGAAAGCGTTCTTCAACACGGCCCAGAATGAACAGTACCTAACGGAGGACTCCACCGGCTTGGATCCTCCTCCGCCTCTACCGCTCTACGGTGCCGGGGGAGTTGTGAGGCGCATACGTGTGAGCAGTGACGACGGACCTCCTATGGTGTACAGCGTTCGCCTCCATGCAGAGCAGGTGGGGAGAGCTTTACCAATCCAGTATGTCATTATTTCACATCACATGAAGATTAAGAACCTCTGATTATTTAACCGGATGATTCAACACCCTAACCTAACCTACCTTTCTCTCCCATTTAGAATTAGGGTGTTAAATCATCAAGTGGGATAAACAGGAGGTCCCTATCTTCATGAAGTCCTTAACCCTATCTAAATAACTAAGTCAGTGCTGGGACATTTATTGTTGAAGTAGCTTGATAATATTGTATGTTTCCTTTACCAGATACTAGATTGACATTGAAGAAATAATAGTATTGTAATTATCAGTAAAACAGAAGTAAAAATTGTCCATGTGAAGATATCATTCGGTAACACATATCACATTTTTCCGCACACAACAGTTTTGTCGATATAAATGGGCTAATGGCATTGTATGGAACAGCTGTGGACAAAAAATCTTAGTATAGTTATGACCGTTTCTGAGCTTCTTCTTGTATTTAAAGCATCATACCTCGTCAGGTGTTGGTGTCGAGGATTCTGGGAGTAAACGATGAAACGGGCGACAAGATGGAACTGTACAAGTGTTTCATGTGCAGCGTTGCGTTTCCGTCTGTGTCGCGGCTCCAGGGTCATCTGTCGCAGCACAAGCAGCGATTCGTGTGCTGTAAATGTAGCTTTTCCTGTGATTCTCGGGTCCAGTTTTCTTACCATGTCCAGCGTGAGCACCTCTCCCCAGTGGCTCAGTCTCGTAGGTCAGTAACTCTTAACTGTTTACGTCATGTCTTCTCTTGAACCTTAGCTGTTATAACATTGATAACTTATAACGTCAATGTCCCTGTATCACTGTTTTGTCTACCATGATCAGTTTTATTGTCTACTTGAAATGTTTGCCCTTCAGTGTGTGTTTATATCCCATACAGAGATAAGGTAGACGTGAGGTGCGACATGAGCGACGACTCCAGCAGCGCAGAGAACACGGTGACGGTGGCCGCTCTCTTGTCGGCGTTAAGGGAGAAGGCGCAGGAGAACAGACCCGTAAATTTAACGCCGAAGGAAACTTACGAGGAGGAAGAGGAGGACCACGGGAGTGAGGACTCGTATCCGGTATCTCCGTGTTCAGAGTCACAGGAGGCCGGAGAACTTCAGGAGGGAGGCAGCGGGGAGGACCTCTTCAAGATGTACACTTGCAGGTTTTGTGGCAAGAAGTTTGACCGTGCCTTTTCCTGTAATCGCCACGAACGAGTACACACGGGATACAAGCCCTGTTTTTGCCGTGTCTGTGGGCGGGGCTTTTCAGAACCGAGGAATCTCAGACACCACGTCATTCGTTTTCACAGTGATGGGTCGCTGCGTCACCTCATTAAGCGAGACAGGCGTAAGAAAGGGGACGAAGACTCTCCAACTCCCTCGGTATCTCCCGTGCCTCTGAAGTACCCTGAAAATCGCCTGAAAGACGTCCTGAAAGAAACGGCAAATAAACTAATATCTAGTTCTAATATTGATATGACAGGACTCTCAGGGAAGACCAATGGTTTAGAAATCACACTCACCGGTAAAACACTAAACGATAACCCAAGTAACTACGAGGAAGGGGGCGTGATACGATCACCGACTCCTCCTCAGTCAGATTCCACCAAGGAACAAACTGCTGGTGATGTTACTACGGCAGTCACCACTTACACCACCAACCTCACCAAGATCATTGCCGCCTCACTTGACAGTAAGTTACATCAACGTTGCTCTTAGAAGTGTGATACTATCTCTTGTTTGTGATACAATACTGTACTACAGGTCTATATCTATTTCTTCTTGATGTCTTTATCCAAGTGGTTTTATATTCTCAACCAAAGACTGAACTATTAACCTCGCGTATCCCCAGATTCAACTCGCGGAAGCAGACGCCATCCTGTCTTTACCGACAGTTTTCGCAGCGATGAACTCGAGCCGGGAGAAATCAGACTGGACCGCCGCACAAAGATCATCGACGATGGAGAAAGTGGACGTCGTTTAGTGATCACCGATGACCAGTCTGACGAGAGCCTGGACCATTCCCCACACTTCTCTAATTATGCACCAAGGTAATGCCCTTCTTATTATACACAGGCAAGAGTCAAGTGTATTATTAAGTGAAGTAAACTGTTGTAAGGTAACATTTACAGTAGATGGATGATATGTTGGCGTCCCAAGATATACTGTACTTTGGAATTATCCTTCACACAAATCAATTATAAAACTCTTCATATTTGTATTCTGTACATAAATAAAGTACAGTATTTCCACAATTACATAAAGATCACTGTAATATAAATTTCTTGTGTCCACTCTACAAGACACTTAAAGACACTATTTTCTGTATTCTAGAGATTAAAGTATTCCCACATTATAGAAAATTTCCTATAATTATATTTCCTGTTTTCAGACTCAACATCATACAAGAACCAATAGACCGAGACAAAGCCCTCATGCCCATCACTGACGACATAGGACGGACCTTCTACGAGTGCCCCTACTGCCACAAGCTCTTCGGCAGCACCTCGGACATGAACCGACACCTCGACTTCCATGAAGGTTTGTCTATATTGTTGGCTCTGTGAGGTGAGAGGAGGGATGAGAAGGAAGAGATGGAGGATGTGAAGGGAAGAGGAGGAGATGGAGTGGGAAGGAGGATGAGATGAGAGGTGAGGGAAGAGGGGGAGATGAGGTGAGGAAAGATAAAGGAAGAGGAGATGGAAAAGAGGGATGAAGAGTGCTAAAGGAAGAGAAGGAGTAAGAGAAAGATGACCATTGAGTTCAACTTTTTATATATTTTCTTTCACCTTAATATCTCGATGAAGATTCGTATCTCTCAATCACAGTTCCAGATTTGATCAACTTTTGTGACTCTCTCATTACAGATCTGAGGCCTTATAACTGCGAGTACTGTGACTACTCGGCACGAACCAACAGTCAACTCAAGGTGCACAAGATGCGGCATGAAGGTACGGCCTTACAAGGTCTCGTGATTAGCAACCCCAGCTTCTTTCACTTGATGATGAAATAACCGAACCTAACCTGAGAAAATCTAATGTAATTCAGTGTAATGTAATCAATTCAAACATAATACAGTGGGGTATCCTATAACGAATCTAATTGGTTCTAGAACTTCGTTCGTTATAGCATTTGTTCGTTATAGGATTAATCCGTTCCAGGCCCCCAAATACAACCACTTAACAATGAGAAATATAATATAAAATTGTAAAAAAAGTGCATAAATGTGCATTTAAACTCCTGAAATAGAGAATATCATTAATACTTTTAATAAAAAACAATAAATTAGTAAAAAAAAAAAAAAAAAAATTAAATACTGTTCGTTGTAGGATTTTCGTTCGTTATAGCCTTCTCAATTTTATAGGTAAAACCGTTCATTATAGGAATATTTGTAGTAGGATCTGTTTGTTATAGCATACCCCACTGTATTCATTTGCATCATTTATTATTAATTTTCTGCCATTCCAAATACAGTAATTATATTATTATTTTGTCTTTTCAGGAATAAAACTATACAGCTGCGATGTGTGTAATTATAATGGTGTTACTCAAAGCGACTTGAATCGACATAAAAAAACACAGAGTCACATCGCTCGTAGCCAGAACGTCTGCTCTATGTGTGGTCTTGGCTTCTACACGGCTTCCCAGAAACAGGTGAGGACGTGGGGTTTATAGCTGCTCCAAGAATGTAAAGCATATTAGACAGCTGCCAGATAGTTTGTAAATCATGCAACAGGAAGGTATATTTGTTGGCTCTTGGATATTTTGTCACCTGTTCAGTATAAACCTAATCTAACCTAGCCATACCATGACTACAGCACTTCCAAAATTAAGATATTATTATGTATATTTAATTAACATAGCACAGTATTCAATAGACCGGTGACGAAAATGTCCGCCCACCATATTTGTTGAGGTGGAAGAAACCAGTGTGAAGGAATGGTTGTTCTATCCACTGGAGGAATGTTTAGTTTTAGCTCTGTGGGAGTTTGAGAGGGTCTACATTAATTAGTAATTTTTTTGTCTTGACAGGTTCATGTAGTGCAGTGTCACCCAGAGGTGGAAGGAGCTTCATCACTAATACAGATGAGTTTAGGTCCACCTGTTGCACCTCTGTTGACGAGTTCTGATTACTCTCCTCTCACCTCTGGCCCTCCTGCTCCGCCACCTGTGACAGCCACGGCTCGGTAAACATGTAAGAACTGTATTAATGACAAGATGGTGAGGTTGACACAGTTTGTGGTACACACAAGTTTTTATTTACTGTGATGCACAACAGTACAGTACACAGCCTTCAATATAATTGTCCAGTTTTGTACAAAATGTTTCTTTTATTCAGAAAATGGCTACAGGAAGAGATTCTTTATGAGGAAATTTATTTGTAATGTTCTTTGTGGATTATAATGTGATGAATGAATAAGTCTTGTGAAGGAAGATGTTTTACAAGTTCAGGTTAAATAATCAACCTTTGCCTTTCGCTTTGGTCTTAACATAAAAACACATTAAAGATACAAAGACTTGTTGTTACAGTGTAGAGGTTCTGGGCAGTAGGTGTGACTCAGAGGTATGCAATGATTGTTTGTCATGAGGCACATTATCAGCTATATAAGGTAATACAAATTCTGAATGAAGTGTTAGCATACTGTATGTAAGGACTATCATGCAATATTAAACATGTGGCTAATCAGCATTTCACAGTACTGAGAAATGAAAAAAAAAATTGTAGCATATTAAAAGTGATAATAGTTTACCATAACAGGACACAGATGATGCTTCAAGTTTTATAGAAGCAGATGAATAGTTTTTCTGGTCCTTATCCAATTTATTTCTTTATGAACCATATATATGTTCTTTAGAGCTTAAACCTCATACAGAGCTTTTCAGTAATAACTACAGTAATTGGCACCAAGGAAGACAGTATCATTATGGTATATTTTCCATCTGATCTCTAACATGTCACTACATTTTACTTCAGAATGTTTTAAAGGACTTAAGTTTGGTTTTCTTTCATGTTAATATTTAAATCTTCAAAAGTAACTTTTTTAATCTTATGGGCTATTTCTTCCACCCTACACCTATATTTGTTAACATCGGTCGGTGCTGGTTCATGGTAGGGCTGATGCATTTGTTTTTCATGGTTTCCTTCCCTGAGCAGCCAATAGAAAGGACACTTGATCTAAAGAAACACAGCCTAACCTATCCAGTAGTATTAATGTCCTAATTACTGGGTCAAATGAGGTCTAGATCAGTTAAGACTTGGTATCTATATATTTACTCGGTCAGGTTTCAATTTTATTAAATAGATGACACAGCATAAACATTTAATACCAGTGTCCCTGAATCAGAGAAGAGTTTTATTACATGTGGTTGCCCTTGAGAATATCCATCCCTAAATAGTGTTACGAACTAGATGGCTTTTAAATTGTCGGTGTATGTGTGGTGGCGTGGCCCAGAATCTCTCGGTACTGTACTACAAAAGCAACAAGTTCTCCGGTAATACGAATAGATGTGAGACTAACTAACTATACTATGTTCATAATAAAGAACCAGGTTGGTAGAGCCTCTTAACAGGGTCTGATAAATGTTCAGTGTCCTGGTGACTGATTATGTCTTTCAGAAAATGTGTTGAAAGTCATGTTAAAATGTTTTTGTTTTTTTTAATTCTTTCCCTTATTTCTCCCTTTTTGTCTTTTTTTTCCTCTTCTCTTTCTTCCTCTTCTCTCTCCTCCTCCTCCTCCTTAAGTCTTATCCCCTACTCTGGTATCTAAATCTGATCACCCTCCTGGCATCTCACACCAAGAGGCTGGACACTGTCACGCCCTGACCATTGAAACACATTTCCTATAACTGGTTCTCTAAACATTTAAAAATTTACTTGTCTTCTCCATCAATCGACTGTTTGGTGCCGAGGAGAAACTTCTTATGTATGTTCGCCCACTTTTTTTATTTTATTTTTTTAAGAATTGTGGTACCTTAAATGAAACTCCTGACTTTACCTCACATAAGGATGTCGGTGGTCTTGTCTGTTGTCAAATAAAACACTCACTACGATATACCTCCCATAAATGCAAGGTGTCTTAAAAAAAAAAAATGTAAGCACAGTGTGAATTAAAGGTATTATTAGTATTTATTTCTTGGAAAATATCATTGATACTTTACTGAAAAATTAAATTTAATGGAGGAAAATAATCAAGTGTATTCATTATGTATTTTTTTATATTTATTATTATACACATTATATATTTTTTTTAATAATTCACAGTGTATTATACATTTTTGTGAGACGCCTTATATTTGTACATGAAACACGGATGGTTGAATGAGCAGTTGGGTTGTATGCATCAATATTTTGTACACATGCAATATACACTAACCATCATTTGAAGTTGTGCCCATGTTAGGAGTCTGGATTCCTGGCATTAATGATCCGAACTGATTTTAACGTGCGGAGATACAGTACATTTTGATCAGCGCATTAATGCCAAGGTACCGAGATCCAGACGGCTGACAAAGGCATAACGGAAGTGCTGGTGAACGACAAGTACAAGTGTTTTTATATGTTAATCGTGCTTTCGTGGTAGCTATGCTTACTAGCTCTCAGGTAATAGTCTCTTTCCTGAATAAAATATCGTATGATCGTATTTCAAAAGCGTTCGTCTCGGGACAGTGTTTACAATCATCGGACGCCTCACTCGGCCCACCTAATGCTGGTGGATGTTGTTGTTGTTCTCTGAGGAAACTCGAATAACAATACGTGAGAAATAGCGGTGCTTTTTTCATACACATTCCAAAATTTCTGAACTCTCAAGAAAATTCAGGAATACAGTAACATTATACAGTAGTTAGAGTGCCCTTATGCTGTAGAGGTTATACACACGTGGCTAGTTCTAATGCAACGCCGTGCAGGTGTGTGTGTGTGTGTGTGAAGAATGATTACAGAACCAGATTGTTACGGTTTTTTTATTTGTATTATTGTTATTTTAAATGTTCCATAATCTAGGTGTTTTTATTTGTATATTGGGCAGTTAGAGAGACATTAGTTATTAATGGAATAGATTGTTACTCATTCCAATTATCATATTTTTACTTCAATGGTTTATTTGTTTTTTCATTTAGGAATTAGAAGTACTGTATATTACTTTTTTCATGTTGGTATTGTACTTTGAGCATTAAGTTATAAGTAAAGTTATGTCAAGATTTTAATTAGGAATTTGTCTGATATTTTTTTGTTTTCTTTATTTACTGGTTAGTTCTTTTCAGATTATTGGTTTTGTTATACAGTATTGTGTGTGTGTGTGTGTGTGTGAAGATGGTGTATGAAGCACTTCAGGTGAGGACAAGACAAGTGATAAGAGTAAAAAATAAAAAACACCAGATGATGTAATGAAACTATCGAGAGATGTTTAAAGGTTATAATGGTGCAGTGAGATGAAGCCGCTCTCTTGTTCTTATTGTTCTCTCCCGGGACGACTCACGAGTTAGAACAATGTTTGTATTCATGGTACAAGTGTGCTGGTGTGTCGCATAAAGATGTTTTAATAGATCATCGTGCTCTTGGGATAAAGTCACCTTAATTTTGTGATGTGTGTGGATATCACATTTTTACCGTCATATTGAGACTAAAAAAAACACTAATACCAGGATATATAGAGACAAAAATAAAATACTTTTACAGAATGGCAATGCATTTCAAATGGCCACAGTTGTACAGGTATACAGTATAATCAGCTTTACTTCATCTCATCGGTGGAATCAATCCATTTTGATCTTAAGTCCATTGTTTATAACACCAAATTGAGTTCTGGGATTTTGGTTCATGTACTTGTCTGAAAGATCTTAGTGAGTTCTAGATGTGGTCTTTTGTTGCCTTATGGCCAAATCTGAAAGGTTGATTTGTAGATGAGTAACACTTAGGTCTCGGTGTAGGTCCACGTCCATGTAAAAGTGGAGGCTGAATATTCCACCACTGTAACGTATCACTTCGACCAATGGCTCACCTCAGAGTATCTGATCAAAATTATCATCGTTTGTGCTGATCATTATCATCGTTCGTGCTGATCATGTTACAATTGTACGGAAGCCTTCACAACCTTTCCGGACAAGGCTACCAGCACGTCCTACCGAACACATTACGTGCTGTACGTCAGTCGTTCATACATGGAGGTGGATATTTGCATAGTGCATTAACAACTACAAAGTTTATGTATAAATGTGTTAATTATAAACAGATTTTAGTAAAGCAACTGTTATGATTTATTTATAGTAGAATATTAAGATAATGTGCCAAATTATCAGATCTATATGTGCCATTGTGGTGCCAGTTCCCTAAGTGAAGAAGCTGTCACAACCATTAGTTTGCTGTTACACTACATAGGAAATATTGGTTATTTGTGTGTTAAAAGTGACGCTGGGCATTTTAGTGGATGAGCTCGTTGTGTTGTTAAGAATGCAGCAGAACTTCTCCGTTCACCTCTATTTCTCAGTCTGGGATACTGTATGTATATTATTTCCCACTATCGAGCAGGGTGGTCTTTGTATAATTACTGCCGATCAGACTTCCATTACTACCGATCCCCTCGACTTGTCTTAGGCATTGGAACCAGGGGAGCCGTGGCCCCCGACACTTATAGACTGCAATTTTCTGCAGTCATTGACCCCTCAATAAGATATAGCACTGTGACAAATCTCCCCACAGTGACAGATTTGTTTCCATGCCTGCGGACATGTCATCACTTAGTCTTTGTACTGATCTGTGGTTCTGGTCCTCTTCAGTCATGACAAAAACCATGTGTTGATGGGGATGGTATAATACATTTACCATTGACATGATATCCAGAAAATTAAACCACTTAGGAATGTGTAGTATGGTACTGTAGTGCTTAATAAGTTGATGTAATAATATTTTGTTCTATTAACCTTTTCATTTATTGTAAATTTTGACACATTATGATCTAATTATAGTGAAGATTGTTGTATAATCCATGAAGTTTGGGTAGGTATTACGATTATTGTTGTTTAAATCCTGTTCCGTCTTTCACGATGTGTGACAACAATCAAGGTTTTTATTACAAGTTTCCCAGAATCTTGTGTTTGGGTAGAAGAATCAACTTACTGATTTGTATGTACAGTAGTTTTAATTCAGATCATTTTTTCATCCCGCCACTGAGAGATGTTAATGGATTTAAGAATTGGCTCGAAGTAGTTCGTCGACTGCTTCACTGTTTTCTGAGCCTGTTTTGTAAATAGTACAATTATTATACTTGACTGCTTTGAATTTCTATTTTTGTTAGTTTTTCTGGTGCTATGAATATTGTTGTCTTTTATTTACAAGTATATGGGCATGATGATCCGTATAACTAGGATTATTAATAGAATTTAAGAGACACATGTCGGTAATTGTGATGGATCAGTTTTCTACTAGATAGGTGCTTTAAAAATCTTACGTAGGCTTCCGATAAATGTTGGTAGATTTGAGAGAAACTATTGTTTGATCACATTCCATTGCCAGATTACCTGTAATAATTTGTTGGAAATTTTAAGTTATGTGATTTTTACAACTGTATTAAGCAACTGTTTTAGTTGTAGAAAAACAGGGGCTGTCTTTATACTGTCCACGTCCTTTACAACTTTTGCTGGAGGTTCACTTTATTATGAGATGGAACTTCATTGATGGAAGGCAAAGTCAAGAAGGCAGGAAGAAGTTTGTGGCTATGAAACCATTTATGAAGCAGATCAAACATTTTTGTGTGATTTTTTTCATAAATTTATTTTCAGTTTCACATTTTTTTCCTCCTGCCACATCTGGCCGCACATTCTGTCCATTAAAACAAAAATAGTGAAGATTCAATCAAAAACTATCTAGAAATAAAATATATGACAAGTGAACATATTCCCAACTTTTTGATACAACAGTTTCTTAAGGAAATTGTATAAAGCTTCAGTTGAGGACCCAACATGATAAAGATGCCCCAATGTGTGTAGATTGTGCAGTTTAAAGCAAGTATACCAGTAAACTGCTGCTGGTGCAGTAACAGGAATCACTTACCTCAGTGCTGAATTGAATTGCATGGAGAATCTCCTCAACCAGGTATTTATTAATATAATTATTTTCACCATTATGACTTTCAATTATTATTATTTATCATCATTATTATAAACAAGTGAACTCTATGATGCAATTTAGGGCTTTCACTCTTAAGAGGAATGTCTTGATTATCCAAGATCTCAGGTACTGAACTTTGTGTAAGTAATATGAACTGCATGTGATGTTTTAACACATGAGAGGAACATAAGAACATGTACTTGTAAAACTCTTATCTAGGATAATGAAGATTTATATTCAATTATGTTGGCCCTAAGTGATGAGTACAGTATAGTGTATCATTAAACTGTCATACGTTTGTTTAACGTTACTGTCACTGTCATGAAACTGAAGTGGCATTCCCTTGTTTTATCTCATATGTGCCCAAAAGCTTGTGTGCTAAGGAGTTGTACCTCTTAATTCAGGGAAGATATTTTCCATGATAGAAACCTCATTCATCAAGTTGAACATTTCCCCCATTTTTACATGTTGACCCGTACTTGTATATCTCCAATAATGACTCAGTACTTCTCAATTTCACATTGGTGTAAAGCTGTGCAAAGCGCTCGTATGGGATGAATTTAGATAACAAATTTCATAAAATAGGTTTATAAAATACCTTAAGTATGATCTACACAGTATATGCAATGACGTAATTATTAAATTTATCGTACGTTTATTTCCACTGTCAATACAAGTTATAAAAAGAAACATATTTCTTATACATTGCATTTTAGACTTCTAATATACATATATATATTTTTTGCTACAATGTAAGAAGAATATGCTACTGTAAACTCATAAACACTAAAAAAGATACCCACTCAGTCCAGATACTGTAGTATGAACAATAGACATCGGTAGCTTACCTAACAGTGGTGCTAACTTTAAGATAAAGTAATCAAGTTTTATATGAGTTTGACCATTGACTGACAGCTAAGTGACAATATCTTGGGAATCTTCAATACTGTGCAGTGAAACCTCCACAAAACGGACTACCCTCTTACCTATAGCCCGTTAGAAGGAAGTTTCATATTAAATGGACTTTGATCGAACAGACTAACCCTTGACATGAGTTCTTTTAAACATTTAAATAGAGGTCTCGCTGTATAGTATTGTTTCATGTACGGTCCTTGAAGGTGTTCTAACTCCGAGTACGATGCCAAACCCTCGAGTACGATCATATAATGCCGTTAGCCCCCAGGAGTACAGTACAATGAATCAATCCAGTAAGTAAGCATGATTAACTTCTCTGAGTATGATGACTTTATCATTGACTCCTGAATAATAATAAGACTTATTCCTATAAATCCAATAACCTGTACCGAGGGTTTGGTTATCATACTCGGAGGGTCACTGCAGGACTAATACACTTGTAGGAGAAGAATATCTGTAACTTATATGTACTGGAGAGTCTGTGAAAGTATTAATAAAACCTCTGTACTGTACTCTGAGGATACAGTATAAGCTAAATTATCTTCCTTTCGAGTTTCTTTGCCACAGCAGAACTACAGTATAGTATTGTACAGGTTGACAACCATTTATCCAAAATTCCGAAAACCGAAAAGCTCTGAAAACCGAAAGTTTTTTTTTTTTTTTTTTTTTTAAACAGGGATTAGCCGACCCGGGCATAGAGCACTGACCCACATCGAGGCCTTGGGAGCGAAAATATAATAGTAATAATAATTCTAATAATAATTATTCATAGTAAATAAAATTTGTCATAAAAATACACCAAAATATTATAATATGATAACATTAATAATAATATATAATAATAAAACTAATAAAAATAACAATAATACAGGGGTACTGTAATAATAAAATATAATAATAATAATAATAAAAATAATAAAGAAATACAAGAATGAAAAAAGATCACAAGTAAGAAACACGACCTAGACCTATGAATTATTATTATTATTATATTCCCAGGTCCTGATGTGGGTCAGTGATTTATGCCCGGGTGGGCTAATACACATTAAAAAAAAAAATAAAATAAAATTAACCATTCTGAAAACTGAAAAATTTCGAAATCTGAAATTTCTCTGGTCCCAAGGATTTCGGATAAGGGATTGTCAACCTGTATTAGGTTAATTATTGTAAATTTTTTTTATTATTATCTATTCTATTCATTTACATCGCAAATTGTTTTTAAAAAGGTATATATTATATACTAATCTGTTGTGTTAAAGCTGTTATAATACCTTGATAAGTTAACATCATCATCACATGTGTTCCAGAGTAAAGGCTGAAGAGTCTTATCACAAGTTATTAACAAGAGTAAACTCACATAGAAGAATATTTATTTGTATGAATTGTATCAACTTCCTCACATATAAATATATATATGTGTGTGTGTGTGTGTGTGTGTGTGTATTTGATTATAATGCTAGACTTGTTGTTTTCTGATGATAGTTAATTTTGTGCGTTATATCAGATATTTATTAAATTGTACAGTAAGCAACTTAGTTAAGCCTAGATTGGTACTGGTGACTCTTTTGTCCTGCTTTCATCTTACACTATTATGTCTTTAATTAACCTTTGGGAGATTTTTCATATTTGGGAATCTCGTGTTTGATTTACATATATGAACATAATTGTTAACATGTAATTTAGTGCCATTTGCTAATTTATGATACATTGAAACTTAATAATGTGATTATCATACGGCCGTGTATGGAAACTGATGAGCTTGACTGAAAGACGTCAATGGTCATATTACACTAAGGTATTCCATTTATTCCATCCAGTGCAGAACACCACACTACAGTATATATTCTGTTAACTATCACTCATTTTTAATTGCATATACTACTACCTGTATTAAGAGGCATCATATGCAGGGATGCTCTTTACAAATCTTGGTTAGATACCCTACAAATTTAAAGTTTCCAGAACATAGGGAAAAAAAATATATATATTATAATTTATGTGGTTACAAAAAAAAAACACATTCCATTTGTGATGAATAAGGTGTAATAATCCATGTACTTTAGTTCTTATTAATTGGATCAGATGCCTTCAATGGTTTAACATCAGGTTGGTGAGGAACACTTTATGAGAATACTCTTTCTATTGTCAACACAAAATTATGACAAACCTGGTGACTTATAAATGGTGCACACAAAAGACAATAAAAAGAAGTCTGTATTTTGTTTCGTTTGCTTTTTATATCCTCATTTTCTATGTTCGTGTATCCTAAGGTGTTTGTACAGTCTTATTAAATATAGTTCCTGTCTCCTGTCCCAAGGGTCACAATGAATGGGGTACTGGTCCTGGACATAGGTTTGGGAGGTGAAGTCGAGGCAATACAGTACAGTACAGCTGGACACATTGTCTTACTATGAACTGAGTCTTGGTATTTAATGTCCACTGCGTGTCTTGTCTCTAATAGGTCATTTTATAGGACACATTGGTTTAAAAATTTTCATATTAATTTTAAATAAATGCAAAATAAAGGTTAATATGATAAGCGTAAGCATACACCAAACACATACATACAGAAACCATACTGTATATACAACACAAGCGCACACACACACATTGACATACTTATACAGTGCAACACATACACATGCATAGACCAAGAAATCACACACTTAATCACACATACACCATATATATACTGTATACACAAAACAAACACACACACATACCTGGGAAGGTATTGGAACCATAATGTGTTGTCTAATGGTAGACCCTGCTGCCATATGGCATCATGAAAATTGTGACCAAGTCCCAGGTTGCTGATCTAACTTTCTGCCCCATTTACACACAACTGCAGGGTCTCAATTGTTTCTCACTTTGACAACACAACATACGTACATATATCATTTCTCATTATTGAATTTTTTTCATTTTTGTATTTACCGGTATGGTTCTTTACTATTATTATTAGTGTTGTTATTATTGTCATCATCATTATTTTATTTTTATTTTTGTAATTTTATAAATTTTATTAACTATGAATTATTATTTTATTATTAATTTTGTATTTTTATTATAAATTTTATTTATTATGAATTATTATTATTACAGTAACTACATTTTTGCCCCCCAGGCCCCAATGTGGGTCAGTGACCTGTGCCCGGGTGGGGTAATCCCCGTAAAAAACACAAAAACGTACACCATATTCAGTGGTCCCTCGGTTAACGAACGGTTCAATAAACGAAATTTCGGTTAACGAATTAGCTCCCATAAGGATTTTCAGTTCGATTAACGAAATCCTAACAACAAACACGTTTTGTTGTGCGCATCAGCTGATCGTCCAGTCCGCCAATACAGTTGTTGGGGTATCGAGATATTAATGTTGTCTAGCACTCAGGATGGAAGGAAACTCTAATGTGGTTTTCTTATATAATATATATAAGTTATATGATAGACAGTCTGGTGCTGGAGATGCCGTGTGGTGAGGAGCAGCTCAGTAGAAGACGTTCGGGAGTATCGTGTTGAAGGAGGTAGATGTGCAGGAGCTTCGTTAGAGAAGGTGTTGCCTGTTGCTGGCCTCCTGGTTGAATGAAATGTTAACAGCGTGGAGCTTGCTGGAGGAGATGTTGCTTGTTCAGGAAAATGGTCAGAATGAATCTCAATGGAGAGACAGAGCTTATATACCCCGCAGCAGCCGCTATGAGTCATGGTGGGAAAACCCGAGAAGTCGCCGGTGAATAGTTTCGATGCTAAGATACGGTAACATCTGGTTGGTTGCTAGGGAAGGCGGCACATTGGAATGCGATACGCAGTTTGTAGGGGAGAATTCCACTACACAGTACTGTACAGGTAATTGGTTCTATGTTTACATTTGTTTCCAGTGAAGTAAATATCAAAAAGTTGGTCTCTTGAATATTTCTGCAAGTTTTATATTAAAACTATTGTTCATTCTGAAATTTAGTTAACATATTGATAATATATACAGTACAGGGAACAGTTTTTGTGCACCCATCAGCTGATTGAATCACCCAACAACGCTTCTCAGTTTAACTTTGTTTACAGTGGAGTGAACATCCAGTTTGTTGGTCTATTGAATATTTTTGCATTTTTACATTAAAATTATTGGTCATTCTGAAATTTAGTTAACATATTGATAATATGTACAGTGCAGAAATTATTATGAAACATGAAGAAGGCATTAGAACCAATGTACTCTGTAAAGAATATGGCATGTCATCATCGACTCCCTCTACAATCAGCTGTTTGATATGTAAACAAAGCTGCCGGGCAGGCCCGTCCTTTACGACGGGCGAACAGGGGCAACCGCCCGGGGCCCCGCGGGGCCCCAGCACTAGACCCAGTGACCTCGGACACGTTACCTGTTGACTGGTTAACTTGACCTGACGGCTTACGCCACCATCGCAACCGTGACCTTACTATCCATAGCGACAGTCCCATGGGGGTTGGTGGGGGTGGGTTCCTCTGACCGCATAATCTGACTCCATATAGTGTGTATATTTTCTGGGGCCCCGCAGTGGCTGAGTTGCCCCGGGCCCCGCACCCTCCTAGGGACAGCCCTGCTGCCGGGAATACGACATACACACCTCAAAGTAAGTTAAAATACAGTATTCTATTGTTTTTTATTTATTATTGTACAGTATACTGTACAGTACAGTACTGTATTTAGTTTATATTTAATGTTTTGTTAATTCTACTTACCTGTATACAGTACTTTGTATGTATATTTTTTCTGTGAGTTGGAACCAATCACCCAATATCCCATTAAAATAATAGATTCAGTTAACGAACGACTCTGTGGAACGAATTATATTCGTTAACTGAGGGACCACTGTATATGCAACACAAACACACGCATACAGGCCTGGACAGATACATGGAAATGCCAACAGTCTGAGCTGATGACCTCGTGATTCTGATTGTCAGCAGTGTTGTCAGAGAGAGGCACTTCCCATGAAGTGTAGTTGCACTACAGAGGAGGAGGATCCAGCTATTGTTGGGGAAGGCTTTGAGAAGTTGCAGCTGGAAGACCCAAGACCTGTGACCAGAGGTTGAGTGGATGAACCAGAGCTTAGTGTTGCCAGCCTGGGAGACGATCTCTGGAGCAAGTCCGACGACTAAAAACTAATGGGCTCAGTGGGACGCTCTTCGGCTGAATAATGGTCTGCTGCAGCGCCATTGGGTGACTACCAATGGCCTCAACAGGTACTGCAGACAGTGCTTCCCCGGAAGATGAAGTCAGAGATCCTGAGGGCGATGCACAACAATCCAACCAGTGGACATCTGGGAGTAAAGATCTTGTGTTGCCTGTGGCAGAGGTTTTATTGGGTTGGTATGTGTAAGGATGTGGAAGAGTGGTGCCATTCATGCAATGTCTGTTGTGCCAAGAAGGGACCAAAGCTACACACACGTGCTTCACTGCAGCTGTACCCTGCAGGTGTACCAGTGGAGAGAGTAGCAGTGGATATTACAGGACCTCTGCCACTCACTGCAGATGGGAATAGGTACATCTGTGTGGCCATGGATTACTTCA